CTGCTGTGGAAGAGGATGAGCTGACCCTCAAGGAGGGTGATACCATTGAAGTCATCCACAAGCTCCTTGATGGCTGGTGGGTCATCAGGTGAGAGATGCCATGAAGAGCTCAGGCGAGCAGCACTCAGGGAGAGGGAAGGGACATCCATGGTGCTCCCATCAGGGCTCTGAAGGCCTTGGTGTCTTTGGTGCCACTGCCCAGCACTTCCTTTGGCAGGGCAGCTCCTCAGAGTCTGTTCTTTGCTAAATATTAAACATTTCAGCTGGAAATTCCTCTCCTGAGGGCTTCAGAAATATCCAAGAAGGAGGCAGATGGAAAAAACCCATGTATCTGTTATTTTGCCTCTAATTGTTCTGGCACATTTTGCTTTGCAAAACCTCAACTTTCATCCCAGCTGCAAAGAACATTCGAGGTAACACGGCACCAGCAAGGGACAGGCCTGAACCATGACTCATGGAATGTCCTGAGTTGGAAGAGTTCAATGCCAGGCTGGATGGAGCTTGGAATAACCTATTCTAGGGGAAGGTGTCCCTGCCTGTGGCAGGGGGTTGGAATGAGGTCCTTTTAAGGTCCCTTCTAACCAAACCATTCTGGAACTCTGTGACCACCTACAAGAATGATCAAATCTCTCTTCTGGACTGAGGAGGTGGTTGCAGAGCTACGACTGCAAGTGATGTTGCTTTGTGTTGCACTGCAGGAAGGATGAAACCACAGGTTATTACCCCTCCATGTACCTGCAGAAAGCTGGGGAGGTGAACACCTCTGCGAAGAGTGAGCTGAGGAACCGGGGTGCTCCTCCACGGAGGTAGGAGAAGCTCTGTGCAGAGGGCAGAAGAACATCTCCCTCTTCCTTGAGGGAGATGAAATTAAGCCAGACAGGGTGTTGTGGTGTCACCTGCTTGCCCTGTCAGTAAGGAACTGCCTGGAGAAATGTAAGCAGGGCACAGACAGAGCAGGGCTGTCCTCCCACCAGCTCTGTGCTCCCCAGCTAGCACAGGCATTGCTGATGCAGGGCTCCAAGATCCTTGCTCCAACAGCTCCACCCATCAGGTGTATTTCTCCTTGTCCTTCTGCAAAGTTTCTTTTCTGGGCTAATCTTGTTTAATTTTCAAATTAGCTGTTTTCTTACTTCCTAAGTGTGTGCACTGAATCTTTCAGAGGCAAGGAGAGATTTGACTAAATGAAGCTGCCAAGTGGCCTAATCTAATGGGAGGATTTGAGCTAATGCAAGGGATTTTATTTTGATTAAAAAGATAAAAAGCACAAATATCTCATGAATTCCAGTGCAAAGAGAATGGCTAAAAAGGGCAGAATTTGCTGCTATCTCTTTTTTCTGCAAGATGACATGTCAGGCCTGCTATGAAATCTCTCCAAATCCAGTTTTGCTGGAGCATGGATTGAGTGTGAGACAGTGTAAAATGGTCCAGATCCACCTATCTGGCCACAGAGATGTTTGCTGGTAGCCTTGGGGGAGATGAGGTGGCCTGTTCCAAGGACAGGCCTTGTCCCCCTGCCATTGTCACTGCTGCCTCCGTGGCACTGGCAGCCAGGCCAAGCCCTGTTGTGAATGTGGTGACCTGTTAAGGGCAAGAGCTTTGCTATGGGATATGGGAGATGTGCTCACACCAGGAAGGGGCTGAAGGCAGAGAAGCACATTTCTTTGAGAAGAGCAGGAGGACGATGCCATGGGGTGGACATCAGGAGCCACCTCACTCCTGCCATGGTACTGAAGACAGAGCAGGGGCCCCTGTCTGCCTGCCCAGGGACGGTCCCCAGTGCTGGGGTTTCCCCTGCAGCAGCCCCAGGCTGCTCAGCCTTTCACTTCTCTCAGTAGTTTCTCTCCTGTGGGTTGAACACTGCACATTTGGGTGCACACTGACACATGCCCCCTACTCCAGTCCCCTGTATCTCACCCTTGAGCCTTGGGGAGCCATGCCAAGCCCCACACCAGGGACCTGAACTTTATGGCTGGGATAGGTGCTGTATGTTCATTCATCAAAGAGCTATAGATAATTTCTGGGGCTTTCTTGGATAACCCTCATGCCCATCTCATCCTTCCAGCCTTCTATCCAATCTTCCTCACCAATCCCTACCATTACTTTCCAGACTTGTGCTCAGGGTTGACCCTTCAGTGTTTGCTTGCAGAGCACCATCCAGCTGCCTCTGCACACATCGTAGATTGTGGCTGGCATCCAGCAGGCAGAAGCCAAAAGCAGAAATTGGGGTTTGGGTGAAGCAGAGGAGGAAGTGTGGGGAAAGGAGGTGTGCGGTGTGAGAGCTGCCAGCATGAAAACTGAAAGTTTTGTTTCTCACTCCTTGCAGATCCACCATCCGAAATGTGAAGAGCATCCACAAGCAGGGCCGGAAGCAAATCAGCCAGGAGACCTACAGGAGGAACAGCAAGAAGTACATCCAGAACCAGCGGAGAATGCGGGGAAATTCCCAGAACAAGGCCAATGTCATCAGTAAGTCTCAATGGAACTGGAATCCTGCAGCATGGCCCATGCCCCCCACCAGTGCTGGCAGCTGGAGCAGGATGGCACACTGAGGTCACAGCATGCCCATCCATGCTTTTCCCATGGGGAATGCCTGTGCAGGGAGGTGTTTCTTTCAAGGAGTTTTTGTACCCCTGGCTATAGCTCAGACAGAGCAGGATATGGTCCTGCAAGGAGGTCAGGCCACATTTGGGATCAGTGCTTTCCTTTGTGCACCCAACCTCCCCCATGCTATTGATGCTATTAATTGCTATTAACCCCACTGCAATTGCCATGCATGTTAGCTGTCAGCAGAGCCCCCAGAAGGAAGTGTTACATGAAGAATCATAGAATTATAGAATTTGGTTTTGGTAGGAAGAGACCTTAAAGATCAATTCATTCAAAGCTTCCACTTGATCAGGTTGCTTCAAGCCTCATCCAACCTAGCCTTGAACAATTCCAGGCACAAGGCAGCACAGTTGCTTTGGGCAACCTGTGCCCTACTACCTTCACAGTAGAGGATTTTTTCCTAATATTTAATCTAACCCTGGCCTCTGACAGTGTGAAGCCACTTCCCCTTGTCCCACCAGTTCAGGCCCTTGTAAAAGGCATCTCTTCATGAAGGTGAGAGGCAGTCATTGATGTATATCCTACAGATCTGCTAGTCCCCATGCAGTATCTGTGACCTTCCCTGAGCTAAAGATGGGCAGACCTCATGCAGACCTAAAGATAGGCTTTCCCTGAGCACAGCTCCCAGCTGAGCACTGGTGGGCACATCCTGACACCATGACCTACAGGCAGACCCATACATGCAGCAGGGACAGGAGGAGAGGCAGGAGCTTTGGTGGCCATGATGTAGGAGGCTGCTGAATGTTTGTGAGGGTGGTGTGTGTGTGTGGTGCAGAGCTCTGACCCATCTGTACATCTTTTTTACTTGCAGTTGAGAAAAATGAGCCAGAGGACAACAAGCCCAAGGCTCAACCTGCTGTTCCTCCCCGTCCCAGCAAGGACCTCATCCTGAACCGCTGCACTGAGAGCACATGGAGGAAGATCCTGTGAGGATCCTTGAGCCCCCACACCAGCCACCCAAAGCTTCATCTCCTCCAGCTCCTGTGCAGCCAGGGCTCGGAGCTGGAGCAGGGACCCAGGTGGTTCTGGCAGCCACCACAGGCCAGGGAGGCTGTGGCCATATCAGCCCAGCCCAGTGCCCATCCTCATCCTCCACCTCAGCCAGCCCAAGGTGTCCTGATAGCACTTTGATGAGGGACCAGCCCTGCTCTACCAGCTCCTTACAGGCACCAAGTCCTCATCTCTACATGCCCTTCTATTCCCTCTTTGTATTTTGAATTATTTTTGTGGTTTTCATCAATAAAGGAGAGACACTTGATAGACCCTGAGGAGCAGTGTGGGCATGGTGGCAGGAAAGGTGTTCCTCCTGTTATAAATAAGAAGCTTGACTAGGCCAATATTCAAGCAGCAATCAATTTATTAATTAATATGGTAAAGTATGAGCAATACAGCGCTGGGTACAGTGGGGGAAGTTTTCCCTCCAACTGCACACCAATAGTTGAGGCTTACAGGTATTTATAGGGGTACTTATCAGCTTTCTCAGCAGTTTCTATTCCAATTTTTACTCACCAGCAGTTTCTATTCCCAATTTTTACGTCACAGCTCTATACATTATTGTGATTTAGTTTTTCTCAGGATGTATCCCAAAAGGAGTATCCCCAGATGGTGATGGTCCAGTTTCCAAAAGAAGAAAGACAAATCCCATCTGGTGAAGTCCAGCTCCCCAGATGTGGGTCCAACTTTTAATTGCAAGGACTATAAATCTCACAACAGTGATGTCTGGCTTCCCTTGGTCGAAACTATAAATCTTTGAGTTGATATTCATCTTCCTTTCTCAAGCTGCTTTTCTCTGTTTTGTTAAGACATGAGATAAGCATGTTTCCTTTATATATATTCCAAAGCTATAGTTTCAAAGATACAAGCAATATTCTAAAATTATACTTCAAAAGGTTGTTATTGCAAAACTCTTTAAGGCTTAACTACAAGCAAAGAGCAACATCCTTAACGCTTTAATTCAAATGCTCCTAAATCAACTAAGGTTAATTGTGAACAAAAGATAGATTCAAAGGCCTTCTTCCATGCTTTACTTTCCTCAGTTATTATTAGAATTCATCTTTGTAACTGTGCCATGGTCGGTCTCCACACATATGGCAATCACAAATACATACATTGCCTGGATGTACCTGCCACGAAACACAGCTTTGTATTTCTCAGTCCAGGTGGAGATTGGGCAAGACACTCTTGCATGAGATGAGGGCAGTGAGGAAATTTAGTTGGGGGGATGAAAGGACAGCAGCTTCCTCCTGGAAGGCGGCTGCTTGGCTCCCTCAAGAGGACAGTGAGGGCTCAGTGCTGAGACAGGGCTGCCTCACACACGGAATTTCGTTTTGCATTTGGCCACCGTCCCAGCCAGCCCCGCCATTGCCGTGCCAGACGGGGCTGCCTTCGGGTTTGGGATGGCGCTGGGTCGACCTGTAGGTTTGTGCTGGGTGTTTTAGTTTTGATTGTCTGGCGCTGGGTCTAAGCCCACACTGGGCTCTGGGGGTGTGTTTAGATTTAGCCCTAGGTCGAGGTTTAGGCGTGGCTTTGGGCCGGGCTGTAGGCTCAGGCCTGGCTCTAAGTTCAGACGTAGGCCAGGGTCTGAGCAGGTGCACACGCTCCGCTCAGAAGGCGGTGTGGCCCCTTTAAGAGACGCGCGCCGTGGCCGCGCGCATGCGCGCAGGGAGCTGACGCCGCGCGCGCCCGCGTGTGAGGGCGGCCAAGATGGCGGCGGCCTGAGGGCAGCGATGGCGGGGCTGGCGCGGCGCCTGCTCTGCAGGGGCTTCTGCGTGTCGGCGGAGCCACCGAGCACCCGCCAGCTGCGGGAGGCTGAGGAGGCTGCCCCGGTGTTCCAATACGCGGGGAAGGCGGCCAGGCGCAAGGACCGCGTGTTCGTGTGGGGATTCAGCTACTCGGGCGCCCTGGGCATCCCCAGCTTCGTGAAGCCGGACGCGGGCTGGAAGAAGCCGCGGCGCATCCAGCCCACGCCGTACCGCCTGGAGACCGAGGACAAGGTGGGCACGGCCCGGTTCGCCGGGGCCAGCGTGCCTGCCCCGGCCTCCGGAGCCTGCTCAGGGCTTAGCACAGCCGAGAAACTGGATCGGGTTTAAAGGCTTTGCCGTGATTCAGTGTTTTTTATCGATATAGTGGTATCGCTTGGGATGATGACTGTTTCAACTGCAGCAGCATATAGTTTAGAAAGTACATATTTGTAATTTTGTCAGAGGCATTAGAGAGCCAGGATGTGAAGAGCATTTGCCACATAAAATGGGCCTCTTCATTGGCTGTTCCCACCTGACAAACGGGAAGCTTGTGTTAAAAATCATGTTATTCTTTTGCCTACGTGTTTGACTCGTGCTCTGCTTTCGAGTGCAGAGGAAGTCAGAGCATTCATAGAATATCTTGAGTTGGAAGGGACTCAGAAGGATGAGGGAGTCCCACACCTGGTCTTGCGCAGGACAGCCCAACAATCCCACCCTGCACTTGAGAGTTGTCCGAGCCCTACTGGGGCCGTTCCCTGGGGAGCCTGTTCAGTGCCCGACCACCCTCTGGGGGTAGAACCTTTTCCTGAAATCCGATCTGAACCTCCCCTGGCACAGCTGCCCTCGGGTCCTGTCCCTGGTCCCAGAGCAGAGGTCGGGGCTGCCTCTCTGCAGCCCCCTTGAGATCTGACCTCAGGCTCAATTTCTCTAGACTGAGCACCAAGTGACCGCAGTGCTCCTCATGTGCCTCTTATGCTGGGCTTTTTTTCTCAAAAGGAGCAAAACGTTATTCTCTTAACATCTCTGTATCTTGCTTTTTTTTTAATTTAAAATTTTTTTAGTCTGCTGATGCAGGTCAGCAAACAGGTCTTTCTGTGGTGTTGAATGGGACCAAGATAATGCAGAAATAAAGATGTATGCACACAAAACCAAAACTTTGAAGGCAGAATGGTTGGACCCGAGTTTTCACCATTGTGCTTATCACATAAGATTGATAATTTTTGGAAGACCATACATGCCATGAATTTGGGCTGCATGTGAATGTAGCTTAATGAAGAATGAATGCTGATGAACAAGTGACATGGAGTGAAATTTCCTTTTCTAAGCCACAGTTTCTAACTGGATGATGTGGGTTTTGTCTGTCTTCAAAGATATCTTCTGCTGCCTGTGGTTATGGATTCACACTGCTGGCTTCCAATACCAGAGACATCACCAAAGTGTGGGGCATGGGGCTCAACAAGGATTCCCAGCTTGGATTCCAGAGGAGCAGAAGAGATCAAAGTGAGGATTTAAGTGTTTTAAAGACTTACAGGGTGACACTGCAATCTCCCTGTGGTACAGGAATCTCTGTGTGTTTGGAGCTGTGATCAGGAGGCTTTGATGCAGTCACAGGCTGTGCTTTATTTTTTTAAATAGATCTTTTTCTAAAATCTATATGTGTTTTTGTGTGCTTTGTAATTGGTCAGTGTGTGCCTCTGCTCTGCACACTGCACTTAATTAGTTTCATCTGGATAGGAATGTAGCTGTTCATCCTGCACAGTGTGATGTTGGTTAATTTGTGGCTTTGAATCTATAGTTTGGTAGTAGGCACAGTAATTAATAAAATCATTTTGGCAGGATGGATTGCATTTATAAACTAAAGGCCTTTAGTCCTCCTTCCCTCCCTAGTTAGTTTTTTTTATACAGTCTGTGGGGTTTTTGTGAATCTGTAGGGTTTGTTTTAAAATTATTTTAATAGTAGGTTGCATTTTGAAGGAAAAACTTGGTTTTCAGTAGTTTTGTCTTACACCAGGCTCTCAAACTCATTTAGGAAAGCAATTTCTGTGCAGAACATTGCCACCTACCACTGAAGACAGGAAAAACCCAAACTTTCCTCATAGAAGGACTGACTGCATCCTCCATACACAGTTGAGGAAAATCACAATAAAAGCATTTTTTGTCATCATGATATAAAAGAGTGTAATCCATCAAGGTCAGGTGTGTCTGATATGGCAGAAGATTAAACTTGGTGGAGAAGCAAAAGAAGAGTGCAGCATGTTGGGGTTTGCAGTGGTGCTGCTTTGTGGGGCACACTGGGTAGTGCTGTGAGAGTGTGAACACACAGCAAGTGTGTGCTTAAACAGCAGCTGCAGAATGCTGGGGCTGCAGCAGCTTTGCTCACTTCTGCTGGGTCTCATGTATGTGCTGATATCTTAGGAGTGTCTTGCAATTACCTTGGTTTTCATCTGACCTGGAAATTGCTTTTGTCAGAGAATCTAGAAGTAGGTTAAATAGTTTTGCAGCTCAAACCTTGCTAAGTAAGAGAATATGTTTGGCAAGATCAGTTGAAAATGTGGTGAAGATCAGTGGGATTGCTCATCTTCATGTTTAATGTCCCACCAGACAAGCTTTCCTTTGGGATGTGCTGCCCATTGCTGTTTTGCAGACTGACTTTGGTGCCTGCTGCTTCCAGCACTGTGTTGCTGTAGGTGCTTCATTTCCAAGGGAATTTGCAGCCTTCTGACTTTTAGATGGTTGCATCTAAACTACTCCCCCTGTTCCTTACCCACCTCATTGTCTCTTTTCTCCCAATCCCCTCAGCTCTCAGTGCTGGTTACTACAGATCCCAGTAGCATGTGTCTTTCTGCTGGAGGGAGCAGAGAGAGGAAAAGGTTATTTTGCTTTGTGGCTTCCAGGTGTTTCTAGACAGGTAGAGAGTTGGTTGTCTTTAAGTTCCTGCTCTATTGCATGGCAGATGCCCACCATTGGCAAGCTGCCTGTCCTCACATCCAGTAGTGTCTTACTGCAAAAGACCTTGTGTAGATTTTTTTAATTTTAATTTTTTTTCATCTTAGGTGGGTTTTCTGTTGTTGTTTGTTTAGTTGGTTTTGTTGTTGTTGTTGTGGTTTTTTTTTAGTTTTTATTTTTATTGAGAACCAGTAAAGCACTGCTGCCTGTGTGCAATATTGCTTTGGGTCCTCCAGGATTTGATTTCACGTATTACAGTAACTTTGATATCCAGGCTTTTTATCTCCTCCTAACTTTTTCCCTACTATTGATTTATGGTTTGCTGTTCTTTCCCCCATCCCCAGTTGACTGTAACTGATTCCATCCCTGTTCTTCAAGTTGCTAAATCTTTTTAAAGTACAGCATGTCATTTTTCATAAACGTTGGATGTCTTATTCCCTATGGACTTAGCCTAGCTAGTCTTACTTGCATTCCTTATTTGTGAAAGTGCCTGTAATCTACTTTTCTTCAAGATTTTTTTGTTCACCTTTTCTGATACATTTTTGTGATTGTTGCTCTTGTACCTTGCTTGCAATATCCCCAGTTGCACAGAATGTTTGTGCATGGTATTAAGCTCAACTGAAGTGGTTGAACATGTGGGTGAATGCCTCAGTTTCACAATTCTGCCACCTGAAGCCTTAATAACATTCACTCTGGAGTTATGGGGGACTTTTGTTTAGGCAGTGATTGGCTTCAGCTGTCTCCATAGCTTTTACCTTCTTCCCTCTGTGCTAAATCCCTGTCAGCCTCTTTGGTTAGTGTCTTGGCTTTCTAAAATGTATCTGCTTTTATAACAAAGCAAGAATGAGTGTGTGAATGTACAACAGGATCAGCAGATGGATGTTGAATTTACTTTGTGGAATCTACTGACTTAAAATTGTTCTCTTTTCCTTAAGCTAAGGGCTATGAATATGTCCTGGAACCATCTCCAATTCCATTACCACTGGAGAAACCCCAGCAAACTCGAGTCTTGCAGGTGTCCTGTGGGAGAGCCCATTCCCTGGTCCTGACAGATAGTGAAGGAGGTACAGTGTTGCTTGTGCTGCTGATGTCTATGGGTGCCTGGCTATGCTTTTACTAAAAGCTTGAAAACAATTGTCTTCTGTCCTTTAGAACTATATCCCAGGTGGGCTCTTTGCACTGCAAGTGGGATGCAGGCAGCTGCTGGCCTTTGTGGGATTGCTTCTGCAAGGGAAAGCTGTGAGCTTCACTTGGCTCAAGCTGTAAATGTGTTGGGAGCTTTTCACTCCAAGGTTTGTTTCTCTAGCCCCAGGCCTGGCTGAGTGCAGCCTGTGTGTCCTCTTCACTCTGATGTGTTTTTGAATGCAGACTTGAGTGACTATGCCAGTGCTCCTGTGTTACTTCTCCTTTAAGTCCCAGAGTGCTATGTTTATAAAAGCAATTAATTAATTAATAGTCTTTTATAGAGAAGATCTCTGGGAACTCTGGTGCAGTGGCTTCAGTGCTTCACCAAGTGATCCAGTGCAGCTTCTTAGTGGGTGAGCTGGTTGGTTCATTGATTCCCACTCCTGTGGGAGTGCTGATCTGTTTCTGAGTGTGTTTGACAGTGGCAGGATGAACTGGGAATTCCCCCTGAGACAGACAGCAGGCTCCAGGTACTGCTCTGTGCCTGCAGCAATACTGCTGGGTGCTGCTGGTGAAAATTGATTCAGTCACTTTATTCAAATGGGTTGGAAAAAAGCTTATGGCAATATTTACATTGCTGTGCTCCACCTTTCAGACTTAGAACTGCCTGAAAATATTTTGAGGACCTGAAGAGAGGCAGTAATAAAACTCTAGTGTGTTTTATAATTGTTTTTCAGTTTTCACAATGGGAAACAATTCTTATGGCCAGTGTGGCCGGAAGGTTGTTGAAGATGAAATTTACAGGTGAGAAATCAAAGATCCTGAACTTTCTTATTGTTGGAAACATATTGCATGAGAACAACCCTGCAGAAAGGCCTGAAGGGGGAAAAGGTCTGGTAGTATAAGCATGGCAATTATGATAAAGGAGTCTGAGAACAGCAGGCTTTTGTCCTGCAGGCAGCATACAAACAGCCTGACTTGGAATCCATGCTGGGCACTCTACTGACAGCAGTCACAAGAGACAAAAGAGTGTCAGCATGGGACAGTTCTTGCAGGGCACAGTGGGAGAACCCAGCCTTCATAAATTGCTTGAGGTAATTGGTGTTAGTAGTTGGGCTCTCTCCCTTTAGCTGCTCAGAGTACATGTGCTGTTCTGGAGGATGTTGGAAGTGCAATTTAATTATGAAAGAGGCATCCTCTTGTTAAGTCTCTGCTGTAACTGCCTCTGAGTCTGTAGTGCAAATTTTCCTTCATTGAGTTTTTTGTGGGTCTCACCAAAGCATAGGCTCAAAATGCTCTGTATGATAGAGTAAGTGAATAGTGGGAATATGTTGAGTTTCTGATTCCTTAGTAGGACCAAAAATTGCTCTATGATCCACAACACTTGGTCTGTGAAGTTTGAGAAAATAGCTGTAATTAGGTAGCTTTTGTTAGTCTTGGTACTGGAAGTCAGTCATTGAATTGTTCATAATTCCTGGTATTGTGAAAAAATGACAGGGATGTTAGCACTGCACTGTTCTCTGGGATATCTGGATTATCCCTGGCTAGGTGGAGTGTTTGTTTGGGTACTGCAGTATTATGTGGTGTCTCTGCTCATTCTAGACTAGGGACTGCCTTTGAGGGTTGCCCCTACCCCCAGTCACAAGAGCTTATATTTAAAAAATGACAGTTCTTAACTTCTTAAATAAGGGAATACAGAATTATGTTCCCTCTTCGTGCAGATATTTTGCAATGAAACTACATGCAAACAAATTTCTCTACTTGTGGTAATAAAATGGCTTTCAGTAGAGGCAGGTTTCCCTTTGTGTTTTTTTTTGCAGTCTTCTGAAATCCTCTGTGTTGCCTTTTCTCTTCTTGGTGATTGTTTGGTGTCCAGTGGAAGCCATGTCATTCATCAGCTGAAGGAGTTTGACAGCAAAGTTGTCCAGGTGAGAGGAGCTCAGTCCTGAAAATGGATTGGGAGCAGCTGAACCAGCTCAGAGGGTGCAGCCACTGGCTTGAAGCCCAGTTGGAGCCAGTATCAAGTGGGGTACCCCAGGGATCTGATGTCCAATCCTGTTCATGGTTTCACTAATGATGTGGATCACAGAGGGTTCCCTCAGCAGATAGCAGATGACAAAACTCTGAGGAGTGACTGATGAACCAGAGGGTGGTGAAATAGGCCTACATGAACCTCATCAGGTTCAGCAGTGGAAATGGCCAAGTCCTGTTGCTGCTGAGAGCAATTTCAGACACCACCCTGGGTTAGGGGTGACTGTCTGGGAGGCAGCTGTGTGGGAAAGGGCCCAGGATACACCAGGCTGACCATGACCCAGCAATGTGCTTTGCTGTAGAGAAGGCTGCTGATACCCTGGGCTGCATTAGGAGTGTTACCTGCAGGTCAAGATAATTCTTCTTTTCTACTCAGCCACACTCAGAGTACTGTGTCTACTTCTGGGCTCTCCACTACTCTCTTCTGTCGTGATTTCTTGTTCCCTTTTGTCACTTTTATATTGCTTAGGAGTTTAAATTTTGTCTTTGCCTTTTCAGAAAGGAGCTGTGAAACCATCCACTTAGATCAGCCATCACTTAGCTCAGGTTCCTAGGAGAGCAAGGGACTGCAGGCAGCAGAAACACCTGCCATGGCTGCAGTATTCCCATGCACAGGAGCAGTTTATTGGTGTGTCTGTGCCCCTGTAGCCATACAGGGACAGATATTGCTCCTGTTCCAAGGAAGGGTCAATTAATTTACACCTACCTGATGAGACTGTGCTGTGGTTCATCCTAAAACTGTTTTGAATTAGGCTTGTAAAACTTCTCTTTGGACTTTGCATGATTTTCTTTTTTTGGGGGGTTGGATACTTGGTACCTGTTTGTACTTTGATAACTGCAGTTATGTGGTTAGTATTGGTAGTCACTCTCTTAACTTGTTGATTAAATCCCTTTAATCTTTGTTTAATTTTTAATGTCTGCTTTTGAATGGCTTTTTCCTTGGCTTTAATTCATGCCAAGCCTGTGGCAGACATGATGGCTAGTTCAGCATAAATACAGATTTGAGAACAGCTGTGTGCCTTGAGCACTTACATGGCAAAGAATCCACAGCAGTTTGTAGCTGGCATCAAGAATGATGTGGTTAGAATCCTGTGAAGGGAGAGCTCTTATTTACTCTTTGCTGCTTTTGTTGTGCTGTACTGCTGAATCAAGCTTTCTTTCCTTGTTTTAGATCTTAAAACAAACCAACTGCAGCATCACTTTCCATAAAGAAAATTCTGCTGTTTTCTGTGTTGTATCTTGTGGTTCTTGGTCTTCCCTTTCTTGAGAGCCATGTGATCAGGAGGAAAAGGTCAAAATCTGAGCTGATGGACATCACAGAGGTTCATTGCTCAATTTGTCTGTCAGTAATGCTTCACTAAATCAAGTCTGAGCATGGAACCTTTCCTGACTGAGTTCTTGTTTGTGTGCAGGTTGTGTGTGGGCAGGACCACAGTCTGTTTAGAACCAAGAAAGGTTCAGTCTATGCATGTGGATGGGGAGCTGATGGACAAACAGGTAGGAACTCAGCTGGGCTTGCTTTTCAGGGAATTAATGCATCTAGCAAGCTGTCCTGATGGAGAAGTTACCATGTGTATTTGCCATGTGTGTGGACAGAAAGGGGCTGCTCATGTTTCCAGTTGTGTGTAGATGTTTTCAGTATTCTTGTGTAACCAAACTGAGACAATCCAGTTCAGTTTTTGAGGAGCTTTAGGATGCTGCCCTGGCAATCCCAGCATGCAGTGAGAGGAGAGTGTATCAGCTGTGTAAAGCTTCTGAGGGGATGTGGAAGTGACATGGGCAGCTTTGCTCTTCAGTTTGATGGCAGCTTTGCCTTCCTGATTCTTGGGGTCTGTTCTGCTCTTTTGAACTGACAAACACCTTGGTAGCTGTTGCATGTTTTAGCATCAGATCCTTGGGCAAGCCCTTTTTGTGGTGGCTTTTGCTGCAGAGCACTTCCTCCTCACAGTCATTGCTACTGTTTGTTGTGCTGCTCCCAAAGCTGAGTTCTTCCCATGATTCTGTTGTGCCAATATAGCATAACTCAGCTGTCATCTACATTCTGGTCTCTTTTCCAGGCAGCATTTTGTCCTGTAAAGTGTTTGCTTCCCAACCTCTTTTGCCATTTTCCCTGCTGTTATCTAACTGATTGCAGTGTGCTAGCACTCATGGCTCTCCTTTTGGAAGACAGGATGCAGCCAGTTGGTGAAATTTCATCCCTTTGGGATACCTGCCTGGCATGGTTACTGTTCTTCAAACACTTTGGTCCATGCAGACAGGAGATAGGAGACTTTTCAGGGGGTGATTGGATGAAGCTGTTGTGTTCTCCAGAGAGGTGGCTTTGCCTAGGGCAAGTGGTGTTTGTGGCTGCTTGTCTGTTGCAGCTGCTGGACAGTAAGCAGTATGGACAGATTTATTTCAGAGGAAGGGTGGTTTTGTTATAGCATGACAAAAATGGTCCTATGCAGGCATTAAAAGTGTGTCTGGAAAAAAAAAATTCTTCATAATCTCTACTTTTTTTCCTTTCAGGTCTTGGACACTATAAGATCACCAGTGTTCCTACTAAGCTGCATGGTGACATTGCTGGAGTGAACATTATCCAGGTCTCTTCCTATGGGGACTGCTGTCTGGCTGTTTCAGATGAAGGAGATGTCTTTGGCTGGGGAAATTCAGAATACTTGCAGCTGGCCTCTGTCACAGAAACCACACAGGTCAGTTGACCTGAGGGTGTGTTTTTATGTGTTCAGTTGAGCAGCTGGGCACAGAGTTAAAAATTACATGTTTCTCCCTGTTCTGGATTCTTTTGACAGCAGATCCAAACACCACTAGCAGGCTGGTTTTACATAAGCTCACAAAACCAACCTGTGTGACATGTTTGTGGAGCTTTAGGGGGCAGAGTATTTCCCTGCTTTGATAGGCAAAGGTTTGTGTCACCTCAGCCCAGTTTGCTAGCCTAAGAACTCCATGTTCTTTCTCCATCCCATGGACTTTGCACCAAATTGAGACCCAGCTCAAGTGCTTTTGCTAATTTCAGGACAGGAATGAGTTTTTTGGCTGGCTAATCTAGGATTTCAAGTGATGCTACTTTGAGCTTAGTGCTGATCCAGATGGCCCTTGGAAGTCCCTTCCAGTCAACCTTGTATGCTGGAGAATTTTTCATGGCCATCCTTAGTGGGTTTATAAACTAAGTCCTAAGCAAATTCCAGTGTCTCACAGATAAAAGGGGTTTTTTTTTAGCAAACTTACATGGGGCATTGGTAGAGTGCTGTCTTCACACTGGGGTAATTAGGCTGTTGCTCTCATGTTACAGCTACTTTAGGAAATGGAGTCAAGAAATTAATACTTAAGTTACTCTTGGTGGAAGGCTAAGAGCAGACAATTGTATTAGAATAGCTTTGGCAAAATTTTAGAAAGCTTTGTTTCCTGTGCCTCTCCTGGTGTAACCTTAGTGTAGGGCTAAATGCTGGGACCCATAAGGCCTGAGGACATCAATCAGACTGTGCAGTGTAGCAGTTTTCCTGGCTGGGTGTGTGATAGAGGGCTGTGGCATCTGAAATGGATGAATGGCATGTTTGCCAAAAATGAGAGTCTGAGCTAAAATATAGATGCAGTTCAAAGTGTGGAATGGCAGAGCCATGAAATCAAAGATTGCTCTTTACATATGTCAAGCTGTGTACATATGTTGTGTTGGACTGTACCAAATTAGTGTGATTTTCTTGAAATAATTTTTCCCTAGTATGTTCAAAAATGCCACTGCAGACTGAATTTTAGTGATCTCATCCAGTGTGAAGCCTTGAAGACATGCTCACCTATTGACCTTCTCATTGTCTGACTTTAAAAGGCAGAGATAAGCAGCAGTTATTAGTCATTGTCAGCCTTGTTGCCATGCATGTAAGCTTTCCAGTAGGCAACTTTTTCCACCTTGTCCTCATCTTAGTGAATTTCATGTAGGTTTTTTTTTTTTTTTTTTTTAGTTTTGGGACTTGCACTCATTTTATAATTCAGGCAATAAAGGTTGTATCAGGATCCAATGTATGTAAGCTCTAACCAGAACTAGAGAACAAGTTAAAATGTATGTCTGGTTTGTGGTTTACCTTGTCTCTAACAACTCCTCTGCAATCTCGTGCAGGTGAATGTTCCCAGGCATTTGCCATTCAAGATTGGGAAGGTGAAGGAGGCTGCCTGTGGAGGGACTGGCAACATTGTGCTAACAGGTGAGTTCATTTCTAGAATCACTCACTAGTGCAAGGCTGCACTGTGGGTGGGTTGTAACATTATCAAACAAGTATCTTGTTTTCTGGAAACAGGGAGATGCTGTATGTTGTGGGGAGAGCTGGGAGATTGAAAAACATGATTGGAGAATGTGTAGAGGAGTTGTTTTCATTAGTGCAGAGCAGTGCTCCAGGGTGGGCTGCTGTGAGTGCTCTGCAGCCTGCAGCAGGAACATGGGGCTGTGTGCCCTTCTGGTCTCCTTTGCTGGTCATACTGAGTGGGGCCTGTGATGAGTGTGGGTATGGGGAGGAAGTAAGGCAGTACTTGAGAGAAAGTAGAGCCCTTCAGAGTCCATGTGAATCTGACCTGTTTATAAATAATGAACTGGGATGGAAAGAGAGAGCTCTGAGAGCAGTGAGACTTGCAGCAGGTCCTTGGTGACTGTTCTTTGGACTGTCAGGGTCTGGGGAGCACAGCTGGGGGTTGCTGCATGAAGGGGTGAGGGAGGGGATTGTGTTACTTTCTTGAAAGATTATCTCCATGAAGATGTTGATATTTATAATGGGGGTACTCTGCTGACCAGAGCTTCTAATCTGAAGGGGCCAGAGCTAGCTGAGATAGAACCTTACTCTTTGTGACACTAATGTGCAACTGTTGCCTTTCCCAGGCACCCAGCTAAGGCAGAATGACCCAGCCAGGCAGAGTGACATCCACTTGCTGCTTTGGGCATGTCTGACAGTGCCCACAGCTTCACTGCCACTTGAAAAATCATCAAAGAAGAAAGCCATGATAGTAAACTTGCAACCTTTGTCAGTCAGTAGTATTTTATCCAGCTCACTCTTGTGTTGGCATTATTTCCCCATGAAAGTTCTGCCTGGGGGGCTTGATTTGCTTGCATAGCTTAGGAAAAGATTGAGGCATTTGGATGGGAATACATTATTTGCAGATTTTAAATAATCAAAAAGTGTTAGACTGAGTTGGAAGAAAGGAAAATATCCCTTTGGTTCTGATTAACTTTTGGCTGTGGCATGAATTTCACAAGCACAGGCTTTCTTACAGAATTTGTTCTTATTGTAATGCAGAAGAAGGAAATGTTTTTGTCTGGGGATATGGAATTCTTGGGAAAGGACCAAACCTAACAGAGACAGCAGAGCCAGAGATGATCCCACCCAGCCTTTTTGGCTGGTCAGACTTCAGTCCAGACACTCGTGTTGCTCGTGTTCGCTGTGGGCTCAGCCAGTTTGCAGCCCTTACAAGTAAGTTTCTCATCCTGTTGTCATGGAGAGGTCATGTTGCTGTGCTGTTGGCAGAAGAGAAAAAAAGCCAAAAAAACCAAAAACCAAAACCAAAAAACAAAAAAGCAAAAAAAACCCAACCAACCAAACAAAAAACCCAACAAAAAACAAACCAAAACCCAAAACCAGAACAACTCCAAAACAAAAAAAAGAAAATCTCACACCCAAAAAATGCACCCATCTTTCTTGAAACTGAAGGCACACTGGAATGCAGCAGCAGGGAGCCAGACAGGTGTCAACATGGTTCCTGGCATATGTTTTGTGTTAACTTATGCTTTAATTGAGAAAAGTTTTTTGTGTTAAGACAAATAACACTTTCTCATACACAAAATCCAGCAGATTTTTTTCATTTTCCTGTATAGAATGAATCAGTCTGCTGCACTTTAGCAGTTTAGAAAATTTATGTGGTAAATGAACAAACTAAAACTGTGTCTAAATGAAGCTAAATATCAGAGTTTCTTGGCATTTCTGGCCAACTGAATTAGCACCCTGAGGTGGGCAGACCCAAGCATTTCTTATGCTGTGCTTTGTGCACCCTGTGTGGGTTCCCAGCCTCTGAAATTTGAAAGGCATTTAACATCAAGCAGCAGTTTCAGAGATCCAGAGCTGGCAGCAGGAGAAAAGGCCAGGGCTGAGTCCTTTGGGACAAGCAGTGTGTGTGACACTGGCATTTTGGTTGCAAGGTGCTTGTAAGTGGGCTCCCCTTGGTATTCAGGAAGAGTTAGATTAAATGGCAGTGTTCTGATTAAATTGTTAATCATACATAAAAATTATGTTCTAGATTGTGTTTTGGTTGTTGCTGCTGTGGAGCTGATCCAAACACTTCTGAGATCTCTGTGTTTTCCTGAGGAGCTCAAAACTCTTCAGCTGTGTTGAACACCAATTTTTGCCTTTCCCTGGCTGTCATTAGAAGGTCACAGCTTTAGACAGTCAAGGAAGCAGTGTCCAGGTGATGGCCTGGGACAGATCTCACTGCCTTGCTCACTGGATTTGCTCTGGTGATAGCTGATACAGATCAACTGCAGTTGTTTAACTTTCAGCACTAATTATTCACTTCACAAAAGATTCCATGGAATTTCTGCTGCTGCACTCTTCCTTCAAATAAAATTCCAAAGCAGCTGGTGTAAGAGGGGGAAACAAAGACTTGTGCCCAAGTAAAAGAACTTGTTTCTTTTGCTGCTCATTAGGCACCATTTTCTCCAAACACAAGTACATTTATTGTACATGAAGTAAATCTGGTAGCTGTCATACTGCCTGTATAACCCTGTATACTCCCAGAAACACTGTAGCCACATTTGTCAGCATCACAAATAGAATTCTTCCTTTTTAATGACTGTTCTTTTCTCTTTTTTTCTCCTGTGTAGACAGAGGAGAACTGTTTGTGTGGGGGAAGAATCTAAGAGGGTGCCTGGGAACTGGAAGAATGGAAGACCAGTATTTCCCATGGAGGGTAAGGATGGTGGTATTAAGGCCAAGAGTATATTCTTTGGCTAGTTTTTGTTATCCAGAGGGCAAGGACCATCATTTGCTGTGTGGTTTTATTCAGTAATTCTCAAAGGAGTGGAAGGCTATGACTGTAGAAGTGCTTTGTTTTCCAGAGGTCCTTGTGGAGCCTGGGAATGGAGGTATTCAGTAAATGTTTTAATCTGCTATGCCAGTAATGATTTTGAATCCTAAAACAGCATCTGGTGCTGTGCCACCACATCTGAACAGTTTTTATTTCCTTCCTGTCCACCATCATCTGTCTGCCTTTACTGTCTCTTCCTTCCCCTTCTAGCCTGCTCTTCTGTTTGTATGTGCTGCAAAGAAACCCATCAGTATTGGTCATCTGTCCAAATCATTACTCACCTAAATTAGGTGAACATTTTGGTCAGTAGTGGCTTCAGGCCCATAGAGTGGTGGGTCACTGGACTGTCAGGTTATCCAGGAGATCCTTACTCAGCTGTGTTCACAGCTGTCTCACAGTGCTTCCAGTTCCACTGCTTCCTCCCACATGGCTCTGAGAGCCAAACTCAGTGGATGTAGAAGAGTCTTTGGTTCTGGAGTTCAGCCTAGCAGATGCTCCTGGTCTCCATGAAGGCCACGTAGGGGCTGAGGGAGGCAATCAGTGGGACCACCCTGGAGTCCCTGGCTGTGTCTGAACCTGCAGTAAATGTGTTTCTGTAGTATGTTTTCTTCTTTGTTTAAAAATGAACAAAGCCAGACCAGCTCTGGAACATTTGCCTAGAATCACACTGCTGTGGCTGGGTGGAATTTCTGAATTCATCTCCCCAGATATGGACATTGGGGGTTATGCCCTTTCAGACAGCCAGCTCCTGTCTGACAGTGCTGTGGCACTGTGCCAGGATCCCTGTCTGTCACCTCCTGCCCTAGAACCAGCTGCTGTCCTGTCTCTTGCCTCTGAGGAAAAACTTGCCTTTTTAGACTCTGCTTTCCTCAAGTTTGAAGTCAGTTTTAAGTGAATAAGCTTCAGGAGTGAGGAGCTGGTCTCAGCATCAAAGTACAAACTGCCTTAGGCTGAGTTGAGCCTTTGCCTTGTTCCAGTTCTTGCTGATGAAAGAAACAAAATCCCTGTGGTGCTGGGGCAGATCCTCTTGCTCATGTCTAGATTATGCTCTGTTCAGTCCTGCTGCTTCTGCTGCTGAGCAGATGGGCTGAGGCTCCAATCTCCTCTCTCTCTGCTAGTGAGCCTGCTCTTCTTTCTCCTTCCAAAGCTTTGTGTGCTTCTGTGAAGGAAAAAGAGGAGTCATTTCACAGCTCAGTGCACAAGGTTGCCTGGTGCTGAATCTTGCTCTTTCTGTGTTTTCTGCTTGGCTCTTGCATTGTACAAATGCCAGTGAAACGAGCTGGCATGTTGAGTGGAAGGAGGATGGGAAATGGGAAATGCCAGGTGTGATAAATAACCCAGTGTGCTGTGTTTCACCCAGGTGACTGTGCCCGGTGAGGTGGTGGATGTGGCCTGTGGAGTTGATCATATGGTGAGCATGGTCAGGTCTTTCACCTAGGGCTGCTGCTGGCTCTCAGCACTGCACCAGGGCCATGCAGGGACTTGGTGACAAGCTTCTTGGAAAGGAAAACTCATTTTGTGAAACCAAGTGACTGTGAGCAGAGACAGCCATAGCAGTGTCTGGGTGTGTTATCATCCCTGCATCTCTGGAATGCTCTGGCCTGGCTGCAGGAAGGAAGCACATTCCCTGAGGAGTGTGGGATGCAAGGAGTGCTTGGCTCCTTCCTGATGAACTCCCAGAGGATCTGAGGCCCAGCCCCAAGCTGGTGAGCCCCCTCTGTGCCTGAAGATGAGGAGTATCTCCCTTAAGGAAGACTGGCATGGGATGAAATCTACAGCACAGGACATTGATATATGGACATTTCCTGTCACCAGCTCTGGAGTGTCAGCATTGGGCAGAGCCAAACTATTTCTCAAGGGAAAAGTTGTGTGGTTTTTAATTACTGTTATGTGGAAGAGTGGTCATGCTAGGTCTTGAAGCTGTCCTGGGTGGCCACCCTGAGCTGCAGTGTGCCCAGGCTGTTGTGCTGTGCAGAAATGGGATGCACAGCCCCTGCCTGCAGGCAGTGATGTGTCTCTGGGCTGTTGGAGGCTCTCTGTGGTAGTGCTGAAGACTGAACACCAAAGGAACACCAAGAGTGAGAACCTGTTTGCAGGGGTAAGTGCTATCCAAGAAGACAGCAGGCTGTCTGTGCTGCAGGAGGACAGATGGATGGGGACAGCAGCCAAGCCAGCTTAGTGAGGGAGGCTGGAAACAAAGCCCTGCAGAGTCAGTGCTCAGGCATGGATGTGAGCAGTGCTCACTGCCCCTCAGGTACCTTTTTCTCCTTTTGCTGATCACACATCACTGCCTTTGATTTTGTTTGGATTCCCTGCACCCTTTCTGTTTTCAGAGCTATGGCTCTCAGTTGCAATTAGCAGGGGATTCCAGGATGGCCTAGCAGGGGAAGGAGTCTTCATGGGTAAGAAGCAGAGCTTCATTCCTTGGTGCCTTCGTGGCAGCAAGCTGACAGAGATGGCTGCAACAGCTGTGTGTTACTGTGGCAGGCACTTCCCAATCTCACACCCAGCTGTGGGACACTCTCCTGTGCAGCACTCCAAACACCAGGCAGGCAGAGCTGTGTCTTTTCTCTCTATGTGGGTTACTTCTAGTGTGCAAACTATTTTGGTGGAATCCAAGCTGGTAGGTTTTCAATAAAGTGATTATAAAATCATTATCAGTAGTAATAGGAATGTTCTTGAGCATGATCTGCTCATGCATTGATGGGATCTGCATTTGAACTGCAGCATTTTGGTTCACAGTTGTGTGAGAGGAAGCCACTTCTGCCAGCTGAGCCAGCTCCATACCTGCAGGATTTACAGTGCTGTAGTCAGGCATTGCACCCATGGCCCGTGGGACACCACATATATTGGCTTCATTAGATGAAATTCTGTACCAAAACTTGCTCTGTAAACTTTACCTTGATTAAATAAGTTTTAAAGGGTTTGCATAAATTATAGGAAAGGTGAACCAAAGTACATGGAAATAGAGACACATCTCTTGAGTTGTTGATGTTCCTGTGTGACAGGTGTTGCTGGGTGGGTGAGGCAGAACAGAAAGCTGCTATGAAAGTGGCAGACCTTCACTACTCTGAACTCCCATTTGCTTGGCTTTAATTTACATTTACCTGATTCTGCATGCAACTTGGGCAACTTGCAGTGCTCAGGCATGTCTTGTTGGCCTTACAAGAGTAGGTTTGCCCTGTCAGCTTGAGGAGGCTTATTAAAACATGGAAATCATGGAAAAAACTGGTGAGAAAGGTGTAACAAACAATTCCCTTCATGGATGTTGCTGTTGGGTGGGCTGGTTGGTGCTGGGCTCTCAGCTGCTCTCACTCCCAGCTGTTTCCCAATGCACCTTGGGGCTGGGCCTTCTGAAGAGCTGGTTTCAGTCCTGGTGTTGCATTCTTGCTGTGCAATAAATTGCAAATTCTTTGTGTTAATGAGATGCCAGTGAGGTCTTCAGCCCTGAATAGGAGTGTTGTATGGCTTAGTGCAGTGGGGGTGTTTGTGTAGTGGCTGTGGGCATTCTCAGACATTTGCTTGGTGGGAGCAAGGTTGGTGGCACTGAGGGCAGTCAGGCAAGCACCAGCACTCACCCATGTTTGGTTACAGTGTGGGGGGAGCATTTTGACCTCAGCCAGGTGCCCCCCAACCTGCTCTGTCATCCCTCCCCCATCAGCAGGACAGGGAGAGAGAATCTGAAGGAAAACGTGGCTTGGAGCAGGTCCCCTGTTACCATCGTGGGCACAGCAGACTCATGTTGGGGAAATAATTTTATTGCCAATGAAGTAGAGCAGGGTAATGAGGAATTAGTATGTCTGACTAAAAGTGTAACAGTGCCTTTCCCACACATCTCCCTTCTTCCCAGGCTCAGCCCTGCTCCTGACTTTTCTTCTTCCTTCATTTCCTCTGCTGACCTTTGTATCTACATGGTTGGCTGTCACAGATTCTTACTCCTTTCTTTTGGCTGCTGCTGTGCAGCAGTTTTTCCCCTTTGTAAAATACAATTCTTTGAGAGCTGCTGTTGCTGATGGCTCAGTCTTAGCTCAGAAAATGAAAACACTCTTTCCCTGCCACACCCCCTTGTTATTGAAGGCAGATCCAACCTCTGTGGCTTTTGCTCTTCCTGCAGGATCAGGCCCACACAGGAGCCCAGCTGTGCTGGGGTAGCTTCAGGTCACTACCACTGGGAACTGCAAAGCAACTTTGCATCATTTTGTCCTTCAAAGTATAGCAAAGTAGACATCCCAAAATATACCAGTATCCCTAAATATACCTGCAGTGAGAGAGTGTCTGGGCCAAGGATGCACACGGGGAGCAGCTCAAATTAGAACTAGAATAACCTACTTGATTTGGCATTGATTGCACAAGTGATTCACCTCAGATCAGCACTGTGCTGGTGTGTTGGGCTTAAAATAGCCCAGAAGGGCCTCAGGATGGTTCCCTGGTGCAGAGCCCTGTGCAGGAGCAGCTCCAAGCACTGCAGTGGCCCAGCTGGGTTGCCACAGTGGCTGAGGACTGCAGGAGCTGCAGGAAGGGTGGGGGAGAGGTTCACCCCAAGTGCACCTGTGCAAGCTCAGCCTCAACACCCACCACCCCAAAGGGTCCTGGCAGGTCCTGCTGGAGAGCTGAGCCCAGCATGGGCTGCCCTGCAGCCTCACACAGCAGGGCTGGTGTCAGCTGTCAGCACACTGACTGCCCTCTGGGCATAAAACACATGAACACCTGTGAGACAAAGATTATCTTTGGCACTTGCTGTGTTACAACAGGCTTTTCTCTACAGGATCCTTCAAAAACAGATGAGTCAGAGAACTAGTAATTAGCCTTTGGCATTCAAAATACTCCTGGAACAATATTACTTCACTGTGCTTCATCATAACTCATAAAAATCTATTTTTGTAGCGTTTTTTGCAAGGGGCTGGAATCTCCCCCCATCTCCCTCCAGTACCCCAGCACCTCCTGCTCTAAGGGGTGAGCCTGGGCAGGTGAGGCAAGAAAAACACTGATGGGAGAAGGGATCAGTGTCTTTGGGCTCTGGACACCAGTCCTCAGTCCTCCTGTTTCCCTTAAGATGCCATTTGCTTTTGGGGGGAGTTGCAGGCAGTTTTGAGATTGTGTGGCAGTGTCTGTGTTGATTTATTTGGGTTTTTGTTTTACTGGATTAAACCCTTGAGGCAGTGCTCTGCATTGAGGCTGCATTCCATATGAACAATCCCTCAGTTAATTTCTTACATGGATGTTTTAACACTTGATCACCACAGTAAACAATGGATTACACTACACTAAAAAGGAGATGCTTTTCTTGAGTACAGTTGATGTAGATGAGCTGTTCCCCTTTAAACATCCACTCTAAATGGTGAAAACTGTCATAGGGTGATGAGATGTCTGATTTCACTGTTTGTCTTGCACACTTCACACAGGTTGTTCAGCTTTTTTTGCAGACCATGTGGCAGTGGTGCTGTGCAGCCACGCTGCTGACTGAGACTCAGGGCCTCCAGTGGCTGCCCCAGAATAGTCCCTGGGGAGGCTGAGTTTGTTCCCCTGGCAGTGCTGGGTGCAGGCTCTGGGGGTGTCCTGCCAGCATCTCTGGGGGGCTGCCCAGACTCCTGGGCTCCTGCACTCTGCAGTGAGCAGGTGAAACTTCATCTGGCAAATGCACCAGCAGCATCCCACTGACCTCTTATTTTAAAGGAAGAGCATAGGGCAGGTTGGGTGGTTTCCAGAAAGCAGCTGGAGGATGGAAATGGTGGTGGTTCCATCTGTAGGGGTTCAGTGCACCCAGAGACAGGACCTGGACACCAGAGAGCCTCAGGGAGGTCTGCTGGCCTTCAGAAATGTGAAGGCTGTAGGTGAAAGAAATGAGAGTACATCTCACAGACAATGCCAAGCTCTGCTTTATTTTCATCAGTTTGATCAGTACAAAAGCAGACAGCATAAGTTTCACTTTTTATTCTTTTTCGATTTAATTACTTTACAAAGTACAAAATATACTGTCATTTATTTTGGAACATTAGGATTTTTTCTTTGTTTTGTTTTTTTCTTCATACAGTACATAAATCTCAGCTTTTCAGCATAAGACCAGCAAAGAAAAGCAGCATGTGCACTTGCTGGGAAAGCAAAGCAGCCACTTCTCAGCTCCACACAATGTCCAGTGCATGATCCCAAGCTGCTGCCACCAGTCCCTGTGCCTGCTGGCAGAACATCCCCCCTTGTGCAGAGGGCATGAAGGCAACTGATGCATTCAGGCTCCCCTGTTACCCCCTGTTACCCCAGGCTTGCAGGAACTGCCACCCACTGAGCCCATGGCAGGTGCAAGCAGCCTTTCCATGGCTGCAGCCCAGAGCAGGAGCTGTACCAAAGGCTCCTGCATGGGCAGGATTCCCCCACCCTGTCTGTTTACATCAGGTCTAGTAATTAAAGGGAAATAAATAGACTTTTTTCCTATCCTCCCCAGTGAAATGCTGCGTGGGGTTTCTGAGAGGGAGGAGAGGCTGCAAGAGTTTGGGGTTCCCAGCCCCACTTCAGCCTGTCTGGTGTGTGTCTGAGGCCAAAAGTGCTATTTCACTTAGAGAGCAAAAGATACATAAATAACTTATTAAATAAAAAGGTCCTAAAGATTTGTGGCTCCTCCCCAGGCTGCCCAGCACAGCTGTTCTAAGTGGTCAGGGATGAGAGACAAACCCTGATCCAAGCTGGGCAGCTTCTGCACCAGGAGCATCTCTGCTCTCTTGGCAGTTCTAGAAATTGGGGTTAGTGTTGTGTAGGTGTCTGGAGGGAATCTGGGCTCCTCTGGAGTCCATACAAAGGGGAGAAGGAGATAAATGCTCTTAGGCACTATTACAGTGGTGCTGTGCCAGCCCCTGGTAACCAGCCCTGAACTGGAGCTGTGCAGAGGGGCTGTGACCCTTCCCTGTGTGACCCTGCAGTGTTGGTGGCTTGCTGAAGCTTAGCCCAGAGGAACCAAACTAAAAATCTGCCCTAAGCACCAAGGAGGAAAATGAGGCTCCTCCTCCCTGTGTGCAGCTCTCCCTCAGCACTCAGGAGCCAACCTGGCAGTGCCAGGCTGTGCAAGGGGGGCTGCAGGTGCTCCCTGGGCACTGGGGCACCAAGACCCAGATCCCAGCAGCAGCAGGAGCTGCTGGGAGCAGGTGAACATGTCAAGCAAATTGAGGTGATCACCCAGCCTCTAATTCTGATGGAAACAAGGGGGGAATGGGTTATGTAAGGAGTTGACAGTAGGGGAATGAGACAGGCTCTGCCAAAGGCTGGACCAGAGCATCTGAAGCTACTGTGAGTTACTGCCTGGCAGCCTCTTCTGTCTGTCCAAGAGCCATGGTTGTCCTGGTGCTTGGGTCAGCAGGAGAAGTGTCCCCTTTGTCACTGCCACCCCCAGCTGCTGCACAGGCAGTGCTGAGGAGGATGCACTGGCAGAAAACGTGGCTGCCCCTGTGCTGAAATGAACACCCTGCTCCTCAGCTTCCTGTCCCACAAACCCCAAAGTCAGGCCTGGAGCCCCCACACAGGGGAGGGATAACAATGCCTGGCCACAGGCACAGGGACACAACCCTGCTGGCTGTGACACCATAGGCCTGGGCTGGAAAGAGGCACTGCCCTGTGCATTTCCAGGCTTTAACCTGGGCTCTAATGGCACTTGGATGCAGTGCTCACACTATTATCAACAGCCACTGGATTGGCAGGATTAGTTTTAGCAGCAGTTGCAGGAGGATTCTGGGTGAGGCAAAGGCAGCCCTGGATCCAGCACAACCAGAAGAACCCAGAAGAGACTGCCCTGGGATGCTGATTTTCTGCCATGGTGTCACTGGAGCAGTTTGCAATTGGAGAACAAAGAAAAACCTGAAGGAAAGAAGGAAGCACTGGCAGGGATCTGGGTAGGTGGGGTCTGGGGGAGAACAAGGACATGACTCCTGTTTAATTCCATCATACAACTAAAGAATGGCTGAGGTCATTGAGCTGGAGCAGACAGTTCCTAATGGGTGAAGGAGAAGTGGGGTGTTCCTCCTGCTGCAGAGCCACCTCCTTCATACTCTGAACCTCCTGCATCTGCACCAACTGACTGACACACAAGGCCAGGAAAAACAGAGCTTTGCTCCCAGGAAGGAAATGTTAAAACTCAGACATTTCTTCAAGAGCAGCCCTGGTTCAGTAGCCTGTCTGTCTGTCTGTCCTGCTGCAGGGAACATCCCATGGCCCTGGGCTGAGCCCTGGTGGGAAGGGTCCTGCTCTCTTGTGCAGGTTGGTCCTGCCTAGAGGCAATGCCCACAGCTGTAAGAGCAGCACCAGCTCTTCAGGTAATTTCAGTGATGTCAAAAACTCAACCTCATCCCAAGGCTGGCATTAGAAATCATTGCAAGAAACAGCTGCAACAAAGGCTGCAGGTTCTTTTCTCCTTTGCTCTATAGGAACCCCTGGCTCCTTTCAA